TTCTATTTTTTCTCATTTTATTGCTAAACATTTGGCTTGTTCATGTCATGTCCATCATTTGCAACAAAGGTAACTGACCCTTCACTTCACATTTTCAATATATAATATATATTTTTTTTATTCCCTCAACTTTCAACTAACCTATAGCTACTACTACTTAGCTTTCTTTTCTGCATACTTTTCTTGCTCACAAGATCTTGTATCAAAAATCAAGAAATTTGATAAAATCTTGAGAGCCCATTTTCTTGATCTTAATCTATCTTCAATGTATATGTAATTAATATTATGCTTCTTGTGCTTATCCACCTCATGTGATCAAAACACTAACATTTTCCTCCTTTTATATATATACTTTTATATATATATTTCATTTCCTCTGTTTTTCAAAAGCTTTCTGATTTTTCGAACTTTTCCGAATCACTTTTCTTGATCATCCATCTCCCATTTGTAATTTTCTTCCCAAAAAATTAAAAATAAATAAAATCAGCTCAAACTATGGATGATCATGAGAAAAATCACACTTGCAAGCTGTGTGGAAAAGAATTCCCATGTGGTAGGTCCTTGGGAGGCCACATGAGGTCTCACATGATCCTCATTTCATCTTCATCTTCTCATCATCATCATCACAAAAAACTCCGGTTTCTTTCTAACCGAAAACCCGTCAAGAATCCAAAGAAAGCAAACAAATCCTCAAGCCCAAGTGAAGTATATAATTCTTCACTTCAAGAAAGTCTCTGCAAGAACAAAGGTACTTCATCTTCTTTAACCGATGCTTCGAATTATTCCCCGCCCATTTCTGATATTATCAATCAGCAAGAACAAGAAGAGGTTGCTTTGAGTTTGATCATTCTTTCTCGGGACAAAGGCGATTGGGATTGCTCGGTTGATCCCATTTTTGAATTTTCGAACAATAGTTTAGAGCTCGAAAAAGCAAGAAATGGCTCCAAAACAAGAAAATTAGAAGTCTTTGATGATTTAGGGAAAGAAAGCGAATTCAAATGCTGGGATTGCAAAAAGGCCTTCTCTTCGTACCAAGCTTTAGGAGGGCACAGGGCAAGTTACAAGAAGTTCAATGGCTGTTGTGGCCCAAAAAGTAATAAGGTTTCGTTTGGATCGAACGGAAATAAAGATAAAAAGGCACACGAGTGTTCGGTTTGCTACAAAGTTTTCTCTTCTGGGCAGGCGTTAGGCGGGCACAAGAGGTCTCATATTGTCTTAGCCGAAAAAAACGATAAAGTTCGGAACTTTTTCGATCTCAACTTGTCTCCTGAAGATGAAGAAGAAGAGTGCAATGGTTTTGTGTTTGCATAGAAAATTAACTTGTTTTCAAGGGTGCATTTTGTAAAATATAGTTCAGGGGGGTTTGTAGCTTTAGAATGTAATAACTGGGTTTTCTTTTAACCCTCTTACAGTTGGGCTTATCATAGGGGAAAAAACAAATGAACGTGATTTTTTACATGTAAGAAGATCGTAGGTAGACAGATACATCATCAAATATCATGTCATTATTACAGCAAGTTTTTACCTTTAATTTACCATGTTTTGGACTATGTAGGTAAGAAACTTGATAATTACTACATTTGAGAATTAAGATCCTTTGCCTTAATTCTTGTGGTGTAATAATCAAATTGACACTAGATATTAAGTCACTGGACAGTTGGATGCATTTTTTTACAGAAAAAAAAATAAGGAGATTTTGGATTTTGTTTGATACATTAATGTCTCTAAACTTTTTGTTGATTATCTTTTGATCTCATTTGATTTTCAGTCTCCTTTGCCTATATATAGAAGTTCTTGTGTGTTATTGGGCTTGGACCATAATAGAAAGCATCCATTTTTTTTTTGGATACCCATGAAGTTGTACACTAGTTGCCAATAAAGAAGCTTTGATCAATAGTACTTGGATCATTATGATGGACTCCTTTCGTGTTATAAGCCCATTTATCAACATTTTAGCACCATTCTTAGACTGTAAATTTAGTTATCTTCTTCTATAAATTATGTTATTAGGCTGCCTAATAATTAGATAATTATATTAGTTTAATAAAAAATACATAAATAAAAAAAATAATATAGTTACTTTTGAATATTGAAAAATGTAAAATTAAATTTTAATTATAAAAATTATCTACAGTTCATGGGAAACTAAATAATCGCCAAAAAAATCATGCCGAAAAAAGTTTTCATATGAGATTTTTAATGACATTAACATTATTTAAAATTTGTCGCCTAAAAAAACCATATCCATTCGAAAAAGTTTTTGTTTGACATTTTGAATGATATTGACACTATTTTAAAATTTAATATCTTTTAAATTTTTTATTATTACTAATATTCTTAGAAATTTTAAGTTTATAGATGAGAATATGGCTATGATTTCATATATTTATAAATCTCATTAAATTTAAAAAGGTTTAAATAAATTTTGATGATAAATAAATTGAATGGCTCATAACCTTTATTAAAAAAAATTGAAAAGAANAATGTAAAACTCCAAACTTCTAAAGATCCTAAAAGTTACAAATGAATAGGGGATAAATTCGTTTTGAATTTTTAAAAACTTTTTAAGACTTAAAAAATTTTGGTGTATTTAAATTAGATTTTTTTAAATTTTTAATACTTTTAAAAGACTTGAGATATTCACTTGAGATTTTAAAAAATCTTACAAAATTGTAAGGTATTTAACTTATTTGAGATTATGATTTGTTAAGGTTTTTTAAAACTTGTTAGATTTTAAAAGAAAAAATGAAATTCCACTCCAAATCTACCACACAGACTTAAAATTTCATAAGATTCCTCCGAATTTGTGACCTTCAAATCCTTTTACCAATTCAATTCTCTAGTGAACATTTGACATTTTTTACACTCGGTTTTATTTATTATACGTGTTTGGCAGTTTAAAAGAAGGCCATGACCGAGTTTTTAAAATTCAGTCAATTGCTCACCATCTTCTTCACCCACCAATTCAATCAACCTCTCCAAGAAACTTCCTTTCACTCGTTTTTTTATAAAAACGAGTTGCAAGTTTTGAATTTAACTGATTTCTTTTTAAAATTCATTTCTCAACGTAGAACTGATTTCGTTTTTTTCAGAAAGGGGCTCTTCATTTCTATCTAAGACAAGTTATCCCTCTTAATCTTTCTTGAATTTACAGGTATCCTCATCAAGATTGTATCTTTTCTTCATTTGTACGTTTCTCAGGTGAATTTGTTATATGGGTTGTTCTTATTTGCACTCGTTGATCAGAAATTAGTTTTTTTTTTTTCTTGGTTGTGAAGATTATGTGATTCTCTTTTGCAATTATGGTTTTGTTTGTTGACAGATTTTATTTGCGTTCTTTTCCATTTGGGTGCCTTGACTTTTACTATCAGGGGTAGAAAATAGCTATTTGATTGTGCGGAAAATACTGTGTAAACCTTTGACTTTGTTATTTCCCCTTCTGGGATTTTTAGTCTTAAACTGATTTCTTTGATATTCGGCTTTTATCATATTTGAAAGTCTCTTTTATTGTACCTTGAGAATTTTTTGCACATGTTGTTTCTGGGTGTGGCTGATCAATATCCTATAAATTGGAAAGGGTGAAAATTGAAAAAGGGAAATTTCTTTTGGTTATGATATCTGTGAAAGCATAAAGGCTCAGATGATCCCAAATGTTTCTGATAACCTTTGTATAATTTTTTCATCTCAAATTTGTAAAATGCGCTCGATTGTTCATGATGGCTTCTGGTTGATAGTTTTGCTTTTTGCCTTTTCATTTGCTTTCTAATTTTCCTTTTATTTATTTATTTATTTATTTTTTTCAATATTGACTTGATTTTTTCTTTGATGGATTGATATCTTGAAGCCTTTACTTATCACTGAAAAGGAGAAGCATACAATTTACAGCTTTGATTGTCTGCCCCAAATATAGATTCATCTGTTTTATTGAACTCATATTTTCAATTTCCCATTTTTTCTACTTTATGTTAACAAGTATCATGCTAATTGAGCTTTCATTGAAATTATTGTCACTTACAATTGAACACTATTTTTTTTTTGTTTTTTGTACATCAGGTTTTCGTTGAGAATTCAAGAACAAATAATCCCATTTTCGGACCTGCACTTTCTTGAAACTAAAAAGAAAAAGAAAAAAAAAATGTTTGGTCACAAGAAATCTCCCTTGCATAGAATTTCCAAGCACAAGTCTGCCGAACCTGGATTTCCAGCTAACAACAATATCCGTTCGAACCCTTTTGGTTCAGACGATGAGTCGGACAGTAAACAAACCCTTAAACCTTCCGGAAGAACATCATCAGAACCTTCTCTCCTTACTTCAAATTTGAACACAAATCCTTTCGATTTTGACGATGAGGTTAAAGTGAACCCCACTTCCCAAGGCTTTCTTGCTTCGTCCGCAAGAAACAGATACAAGAATGACTTTAGAGACTCGGGTGGATTAGAGAGTCAAACGGTCGATGATTTAGAAAATTACGCGGTGTATAAAGCTGAAGAGACTACAAAGACTGTAAATGATTGTCTGAAGATAGCTGAGGATATGAGAGAAGATGCTAACAAAACTTTGGTCACTTTGCACCAACAAGGAGAGCAGATTACGAGGACACACATTGTGGCTGCTGACATGGACCACGATCTCAGTCGAGTATGGGCATTCCATTTTTCATTAATTTGTTTTAGACAATTTAGGGGGGTTCTGATTTTCTTTTTTTTTTTCTTTTTCTTTTTAATTATATTATTTGTCGACTGATTTTCAGGGGGAGAAGCTTTTGGGGAATCTCGGAGGAATGTTTTNACATGTTTTTAATGTCGTTAATGGGCTTTTTTATGCAGATGATCCTGTACAAAGAAAGGGTAACCATTTGGAGCAGAGGGAGAGGCTCGGGTTGAATAAGGCCCCAAAAGAAAGGCCACACACAAGCAAACCACTGCCCGAGCCCACAAATGCCTTGCAGAAAGTCGAGGTATGCTCATCATAAAAAAACTTGAATTAGTGACTTGTGTGTATCCAGTTTAAGGCTGGGTTTGGTAAGCATATAAGTTAGCTTATAGCTTATTTGATTAGTTTATAAGCTTCCTGTATTCAAATAAGTTTAGTTTGGTAGGACGTGCTTTTTTAAAAAGCTCGAGCTTATCTCATAAGTTTCATGGAGAAGCTTTTCAAATAAGCCTATTGAAATTTTTTGTTTCAGCTAATTTTACCAAACATTTTTATCATATAAGCTAGCTTTTCAGCCATAAGTCATAAGCTATCATCGATTATAAGCTCGAAATTCACTTAAAAGCTATAAGCTAGTTTATCAGCTAGGTTTACCAAACATAGCCTAAGACCAGTCTAATTGCAGAAAAACCCTTTTGCAATATGTGCCGAAATAATTAAATAACCCCTTAATTGCAAATGTGATTCAGGTGGAGAAGCTCAAACAAGATGATGGCCTTGCAGACTTGAGCAATATATTGGGGGAGCTAAAGGAAATGGCAATCGACATGGGATCAGAAATTGAAAGGTCTAGTGACATCATTAATCTGTCTTTACCGAACCTTGAGCATTTTTTTTTCTTGTTTTTGATTTTTTTTTTTCAAATAATGCAGGCACAACAAAGCTTTAGATCATGTTGAGGACGATGTGGAAGAGCTTAATTTCCGAGTGAAAGGTGCTAATCAGCGTACTCGCCGTCTGCTTGGGAAGTAAAATGTGAAAATATAAAATGCGTATTATTATTTGTTCGCTAATGTTATATGGTTCGTTTATTGAACAAAATTCGACACTTGGCCTCGGCTTGGGACTTTCTTTTTCATTTCGATATATATATATATATATATATTGTATTTTCTTGCCTGCATTATTAGTACTTTTCGACTTGATATCTACTGTTGGATGGGCTTTTTAGTTTTTATATATGTACATATTTCTCTACAGAAACTATATATTTTGAGTTGCTGCTAATAAAGGGATTTGCTGTTTTGAAGCTGATTTGTTATTGTAAATTGTTGGTGATTATGTTGTTGAATGCTGCTGTGAGGCAATGTTGAAGTTAAATGGTCAGTTCATTATACTGTTTTAAACAAAAACAGAAAGTTAAATGTATGCTTATATGGTAAAATGACACATATGTTTAGTGTAGAATTTAGAAACAACTGATTAAATGGATTGTGTGAAAAATAAAAAATGGGATTTATATGTTGGATAAGTTTATGTTATTTGTACATGATCGCAAGCCAAGTACCCGCAGAAAGTGTTTATTTTAATGAACATTATATTTAAAAAAAATTAATCATTATATTTCATAAAGTTTAAAAATATTACACCCATCCCATTATAGTTTAAATTATTGAATACTAGTACGACACCCGTGTACTACACTGGTACTTGACAAAAATTGATACTTTTATAAGAAAAAAGAATAAAAAAAAATGATATTATTTAACATGAAACCCGTGTTCGATACTTTATTTGTTGAAAATAATAATTGTTAATTATATTTATTAAATTATACATGTCCAAAGCAAATGTTATTTACAATTCCATAAATTTGATGTTGAATTTTGTAATTTTATTAAAAGCCTTATATTATGGTAATGATTGATTTCTTCATATAGTAATTTTTAAGTATTTTAAATTTATAATTTTTGATAGTTCAAAATATAAATAAATATATAAGTGCAATATTTTCTAAATATATTAAATATTTTTTTATGTTTAATTATGAATTTATTCTTATTCATATTTACAACATCATAATAGTGTCAACCTTTATACATACTTTATTTAAGTTGAGACATGATTTTTTGAATATTTATTTTATTCATTTTTGGTTTGATACTCAATTTCTACGTGTTCTACATATATGTAAAAGCAATATATTCAAATGGTTTGTTTATGATATATTAATTTATGAACTAATTTATAGTTTTATTTGATATTATCATTTGGTATGATAAATAAATTTAAAATTTATTAATATATATATATATATATGAAATTATTTTTATATTATATATACAAAATGGATATCATATTAAAAATCGTTAAATATGGTATTTTGATATATCATATATGAAAAAAATATACCTATAAAAAAGTTAATTTTTTAAAATAAGGATAAATAAATATTTATAATAATTAATATATGAATTAAGTAAGAAAAAGAAAATGTAGTGTATGATAATTAATAAAAAGAAATGTAATATATGGTAACTTAAAAAAGAAAAGGTACAATAATTTTTTGATAATTCACAAATTTAGTTGTTGAACCGAGTCTGTAAATTATTTAATTTTTATTGTACAAATACTAATATATTAAAGTACATGTGTAGTACACGGGTATTGTACTAGTTTTAAAATTTATTTTGTGATATTATCACAATAAAAATCTATTCTTAGTATCAATTACGAATCACTGAAATTTCTTATTCTTTTGGTGACCAACCATACAACGCGTATTCAAAAAACATCTATTAAATAGGTTTTGTTATTTAGAAAATATTATTTGAATATGCACGATAAAATTACAAATATGATTACAAAATAAAATTGAAAATCAGTTATGAAAATTTTATTATGATACATATCACAAAGTTACAATAGAATCTTATTTATCGATATTAATAACAAATCATTGTGATTTTTTATTCATTTGGTAACCAACCATATACCAAAATATTTTTTTATCATATATTCAAAAAATAATTTAATCAAGAGGATTAGTTTAGAATATTTTGATTTATCAATAACTTAACCGGTTCAGTTTTTCAAAAATTGTAAACGCAGTTTTCCATAATATTAAAAGAAATTTAACTATTTATTTTTATTAACAAAAAACAATCCTTAATAACAAATCATGTGTTCTTCTTTTTTAATAAACATCCAACCATATGTAAAGCGAAATATGCGTGAGAACATTTTCAAATATAAAGACAAAATAAATTTAGCAATCAATTGCAAAAATCTTATTTATATAACTAGCACAATATTACAATAGAACTGATATCTCAACATTAATAACAAATCCCTTCAAGGAGTTCAAAAATATCCTTTAATTTTATCATCCGAATCAGTCTTTTAAAAACTCATATTGTGATTCACAATATCATAACAAGTCTTGTATAAATTAATATATTAGAAAGAAAATTTGTAATATTTATAATATTTATAATATACATTATTATAAGTTATAAGAAAAAAATAAAATAATATTGATCTAGTTAAAAATTAAAAAAAAAAAAATCAACTTCAAAACAATATATATTACAGTCTTTTCAATTAAGTGTTGGTTTATAATATTTGACACAATTTTTCAACTTCAGCATAAGTTATTTAGAAATCGACATAATATAATGTAATAACGTAGGGAGAGAGAGAGAGAGAGAGAGAGAGAGGGAGAGAGAGATTTTGCGAGTATTATTTATTTGAATATGTTACATTTTCATTATCCTTAATTATAAACAGAAATTCTAAAATGACAAGTATTTTATAACGAGAGAAATAAACATATAAATCATATATTCAATTATTATATATCATGAAATAAAATAAAAAACTGTTAATATTCAAAACTATTTTTATACTAATCAACAATTCTTCATTAATTTAAAACATGTCGTTTATAATTATTGCAGCGTGCATCGCACGTGCTACATACTAGTTACGATAATCATGCATACCAATCAAATTAATCTCCCCAAACAATGTTGCAATCCAATCACCGACCTCTTCTTTTGAAATACTAAATCATTTTGTACATATTACAAAAACAAAACTAATCTCCATAGCTATAAATAAACTCCACCAATATTGCTCCATTTTCCTAAATCAATATCATCAATAGTAACACAACAATGGCTAAAAGCTTATTTTTCACTCTCATTCTTCTTTTCATGTCCATCATGAGACCAACACACTCTTGTTTCTGGAGAAGCAATAACTACACCATCTCCATATTCGACAGCATTCTCGACAAATCGGATAATATATGGTTCCATTGCGCGTCAAAGGACAACGATTTAGGGAATCACACGCTTAATCGGGGGTTTTTCTACTATTGGTCGTTTTGCACAAACTTTCAAAAGACAACCATGTTTTTTTGTCGTTTTCATTGGGGTCCCAAACAGAGGGCCTTTGAGGTTTTTAACTATAAGTTGGGGAAGAGAATGTGTAAGAGTGGAACTTGCCTTTGGTCTGTAGCTGATAATGGTTTCTATTTGAGCGACGGCATGTTAGGCTCGCCAGTCAAGCAATATGATTGGTAAAAAGTATGGTTGAATATACAAAATTAATATAGTATAAATTAAGGATGAATTGATGGCATTGGACTATACAAAAACAATATGGTATAATTTTTTTTTTTCAGCATTATTATCCATTTTTAGCTGGCTATTACATTTTTTTTTTCTTTGTTATTGTATATGTCAATTTATCTTGAAGGAAAAAAAAAATTCTAGAGGATAACGAAATATAAAAAGAAAATTTAAAATTTTGATATTATTAATAAATTTTTTAACAAATATTCAACGCATTTTTTTTTTTCTTTTAATATCATTCTTTCCACGCTAGAAAATTGGTGTCCTTCATTTTAATTCCATCTTCCAATAGCTAATAAATGGGTTTCTAATCTATAACTATGAAAAAGGAGAATAAGATTTACTACATATGGTAAGTCAAAATAATTTCNTTTAACTCGGATTAACAAAAGTTAATTCATATGATACGTGTTGGCTTCAATTTCTTTATAATTTTGAACTCTAAATAACTTAATAATCTCGATTTGACATTTTATTAAGTACAACTATTTAATTAACTTCATACATACTGAGTTCAAATTTTTTACATATTTGAAATCAAAATAATAGAAATATCTCCATTTGAGATTTGATTAATTATAGATTCTAATCAATTAAGTCATAAATAAACTAAAGTGCATTACAAAAATATTAGGATTAAGATATGAATAAGTGATATAATCATAGGTTAAGATATGAATTCCTCACTAACCTAAAAATATACACGTATTAGGATTATCTACAAAGAAAATATATTAAGAAAAGCATATAATCATAGGCATAAATCCAGCCAAATCTAATATGGGAATCTACCATAAAGTTAATGTAATGAAATATCAAATGTATTTAACTATTACATTCATCTTGCAATCAGATTTTATCTACCTCAATGAGTCCAAACCCATGTTCACAAACAATTTTACTACAAAATATATATATATATATATATATATATATATATATATTAAAAGAATATAGTTATATACAACAACAATATAGTCTTTTAGTCTCAAGCAAGTTGGGATAAACTAGAGATGAAACACAAGAGAACCAATGATAAATAAAGATTCTCATTAAGTTCGATATAAATAAAGATCCTCCCTTAATATATATCACAACCTGACAACCGCAACATTTCATGTCCATTGCAAATAATATCACTTAGCCGCAATATTCCATATATGAAATTGAAAATAGATATTCTCATTAATATCACTTTGCGCATTTGGAATTAATACTATACTAGTACAACACCCATGTATTACACGGGTGTTTGCTAAAAAAATATTTTTAAATTTTAAAATTAATGAGAGAAATTATTTTAAATTTTATTTTTTTTTTTTTACAAAAAATATATATTATTATATATTTTAGAATGACACTTGTGACTTCTGCGACTTACATGTGGTACATTATAGTAATTTTTTATAACTTATATCATATAACTAGTTGAAATATAAATATATTAATTGATAAATAATTTTATTTTTCTAATTAATATTAAAAAATAATTTTATTATTGTTATAAAGATAAATATAATTTATTTTTTTATACATACAATATGGATGTTAAATCGAAGCTCGTCAAGAAATGATTAATTTGATATATTATATATGTAAAATTGATAAATAATACAAAAGGTATTAATTTTTAAAATACATTTACAATTCAATGGTTATAATAAGAAATAATATTAAAATATAATTAATAAATGTAAAATGACCATAAATAATCAATATATTTATGGATAATCCGGACCTAATTATTTGGATTGGAAGTAAATTAAAATCTACCCAAACCTAATAACAAAGAATGTAATTTTGCCACATAGGGTCCCAAAGCATGCGAGTCTGCCACTTAGGCTCAGCACGTTTTGAATTAATGTATAGGGAGAATATAGGGGGATAATATGTTGCGTTACATGATTCATTCATTTTATTTATACTAGTGTTGATACCGGGGTGCAATAAAAAAAGTATTTTTTTTTATTTAAATATTATAAAATTATTTAAGACAATATGAAATTATATTCTCCACAATATTCTATTCAGTAATAATATATTTATTTACTATTATTGTTAATATTTATTATAAATGTATAAGATCATATAATATTTGCATACAAATTACTTGTATGTACTTATACAATTACCGCTTATCATAGTCTTATAATTTTTTAACAATTCATAATTTTCACATTACTTGATAATTTGACCAACGTTTAACCCATAATATTTATCTTCCGCTATAATTATTAAATGCTTTAAATGTTAAAAACTTTGATATATAAATTTTAATTTTTTGTGACTTTAATCCTTATGCAACACACAATTTTTATATGGTTAAATATTTAATTTTTATGTTTTCATTTTGTATTTATATTTATTTATTTAATTCATTTTTCCAACCTATATAATAAATTACATAGTATCTATTGGAATATTTAGATATATTATATATTTCCATAATTACCAAGTGCTATAATCTAAATTATTATACATTGCTTTTTTATTAACTTATTTTTCATTTATAAAATAGTATATAAGAAAAAAAATATATATTTTTAAAAATTAAATAGTTTTTAATGTAAATAGATATTTCTAAGATAAAATTTATAATTCTAAATTACACCCGACCACCAAATATTATTTTTATTAGTATATTATTTAAATTTTCAATAGCATTATCGCGGCATATGATACATTCAATGAGGATGTACCTTTTTATATTTAAAATGACTACATTTTTTAAATTTTTACTAATATTTTAAATTATTTATTAAGTTATTATGATTTAAACATATTTATTTTAATTATTTTATTATATATTTTAAGTACTTCTGAATAGTGAATATAATTAATTAAATTAATACCTACAACCACAGATGATAATATATTTAATCAAATCAATTTCTGTAATAATTTTTTGAACTGTGTCAATAAATTACGATTAAATTAATATAAGATCTTATTGAAAATATATCTAATAAATCAACGGTCAAAATTCCAATTTAATCCAATTTGTAGTTAATGAGCAATAGTCACTGAGGAAAACTTACAAGATAGTTCGGACGGGCTCTAAATTTCCCCTTCTCCCAGCAAAAAGCCCCAAATTCACAAAAAACCTAATCCGTTAATTCGCGTGCCTTCTCCCAGCAGGGCCTTCGGGCCACCACGACGGCGGCGTCCTCTGAGCCGTGCGGTCGAATCTCAGGACGTCGGCAGTGGCGGTGGCCTTTTCATCGGGTGAGATCGTGGGTCCTCCCCTTGGGTTTCGCCGTCTTGCAGGTTGCTAAGGTGGGTCGGGATCCCGCGGTCTTCTCGGAGTCTAGGTGGTGGCGGGCTGCCGGCGTGGACGTGAGTGCAGGCTGTGGCTCCTATTATTCCCTCGGAGGTTGGCGAGGTGGTAGTCGGGGCTGAGATCGGTGCGGTTTCACTCTCCTCCCTTCTCCCGATTTGCTCTGCTTTTGGGCCTTTGGGTTGTGTTAGCGGAGTCGGTTCGGATCGGGGTGGGTCTTGTGTCCTGGACCTGGGTTGTCGGGTCTTGGGAGGTGGAGTATGTTGTGGATCTCCGGTTGCAGGTCTTTGGTTTGTCTACTCGGGCGAGGGTTTGGGTTCTTTAGTCTCAGATTTGGCTAGGCGATTTATCTGCAGTTTCTGAATTTGCGGCTTGAATCAGGTCTTGTCCGTGTGAGTAGTCGGCCTTGGGTGTCGGTGTCGTTGGTGTTCGCGTTGGCTTCATTGTGCTGTGGGAAGGGCTTAGTGTTTGTTGTTTTGTATTCTTTTTGTTGTGTGTGTGTTGTGTTTAGTGTTTCTTTGTTTGAGAGTTTGTTGATGTGTGGTGTTAGTGTTGTTTGTGTGCGTCAGTGTTTTTTTTTCTCCTCTTTAGGAGTGTGAATTCTCCCGACGGGGAGTGTGTATTCCTCAATAGTGGGGTTTTAGTTTTTTGTGTGTTTCGTAGTGTGGTGATTCAGGCTACCTTCGGTGGTAGACCTCCCTCTTTCCGGTTAGTGAACCGGTTGTATTTTCATGTTATTTATAAAGTCTATCGTTTGAGAAAAAAAAAAAAAANGTCACTGAGTGTATAAAGATTAATTATATTTTCCATGCATAAGAATTGCTAATAAATAAATATTAATTAAATGCCAAATGTAGACGAAAAAATTTCCCGCCAAAAATCATGTCCATTATGACAATAAAGATTGGTACATTATATTGATATAGATATAGATATAGATAGTTATCTATATAGGTAACTAAATTGAATTGCATATTGATTCAATATTTTTAATTTATGAATATAATTTAATGAACATTTTTAATTTATAAATATTAATGAATATATCTTACCCGTGCATCGCACGAGATTCGTACTAGTATATATTAAAAGAAGTTGATTGAATAATCTAAAACATAGTTTTTAAACCCGGCCCGGTGATCGACCCGGGCAGGTCCTCGGGTCACCGGTTCAACCGTCGGGTCACCGGGTCAATTGCTGAACCAGATAATTAATTTTAAAATTTTTAAAATTATATATAGAGTATTTTTGTCATATAAATATACATAAAAGTAAAAAAATTAAATATTTTATGTATAAAATTTGTACATTAAAGTGTTAATAATATGTGTCTCATGATAAATATTTACCATATAAACATATATACATAGTTTTATTTCTTTTAAAGAAATAATAATTTTGACTTTGTGATTCGGACTGGCTTCGGGCTGGTCCGGGTCACAAAACACTGATCTAAAATAATAATTTTGACTTTGTAATTAAAGAGGTTGACTTAATATTAAAGAAATATTGTAAAAATTTCTTTAAAATTTATAAAAAATGAAAATCAAATTGTACGGACCTATTGTAAATCGTGCAATTTGGTTAATAGAACGAATTTCTATATAAATAAAGTGGTATCCATTTTGAAAATTATTTTGTGATATTATCACAATAAAAATCCAATTCTTCATGTTAATTACGAATCACTGAAATTTTTTATTCTGTTGGTAACCAATCATACAACACGTATTCTNACCAACAGCTGAATACAAGCAGCCAATAGCTGAAAAAGTGAGAGGACAGGTCAAAAGATTGCCTAGAACCGACCCCAACGGGGTAATACTCAAAAACACTACAAAGTTGACACTCAGGCTCACAGTGGCCAACGACCCAAACAAAAAACACAGGACAAGGATACACAGGTAAACACCCAGACCTAAAACACATGAACTGACACAAAACAAAACAACTACTATCTAAAAAACACTGCCTCCCTCAGCAGAAACATCCTAACAATACAGTAGACAAAGCCGCTTTCGAGGAGAGCTCCGAAGCTCAGATACCACGCCCGCCACTGCAGAAGGCCTAGCAAGACGATGACCCAAACGTCATAACAATCCGAAAGAACCGACTCGCATCCCGGCCGCAAGAAACCACAATCACCCCCCAACCGTCTAACACCACTAGACAATCCGACATTGTCCCGAACCTGCCTAACACCACTAGCCAAATCCGGAAACGGTCGGCCTCTCACAAGCTCTGGAACAGAGAAATAAGAGGAAGGGGGAGAATGGCGTCAACGCTCTGCCGTATCAACCCAGCCCAAAGGGACGAACCCAGCCCGAAACGACCACCAGTCCACCTAGCCCGAAAGTACAAACCCCGACCCACAATCTGATAGACCCCGAAAATCCACAGCCTGTTTGATCTCCAAGCCCGGCGAGAAGAGACGCCCCGACCAAAGCCCAACCCCGAGCTCTCATCCCAATCACCAAAGTCCAAACCCCGCCCACCCGCTGCCGCACCAGAGCACCGGCGAACAGAGAAGTGGACAGATCCGGAAGCAAGCCCGTCGGAATTGATGGAAATGGGAGACATTTGGACAAAGGAGCCGCAAGCAACGTGAGCCGCATCCATCCTCTGGTACAACCCTCCACCCACCTCACTACTAGGAAGCTCCGGCGATCGGCAGGCACAGATCTACGAAATCCGCCTAGGACTACCATCCTCACCCGACTGTTAGCGAGACGAAGGTAGAGTGCCGCCCATAGAGGCGTGGACGCGCGGCGGAGACCAGTCCACTGGCTTGTCGGATGGCCGCTGAGAGGGGACAAATCGCCAGCGACAAGGCTAGGGTTTCGAGCTGAGAAGAGGGGATTTTACGGGAGAGAAGAGAGAGATATTGTTACACTTAATAAATCCTACAACACGTATTCAAAAAAGCATCTATTAAATAGGTTTTGTTTTTTTTATAAAATATTATTTTAATATGAAAGATAAAATTACGAATATACTTACAAAATAAAAATTGAAGTCAGTTATGAAAATTTTATTATGATATTTATTACATCGGTATAATAGAATCTTATTCAACATTAATAATAAATCACAATGATTCTTATTTCTTTGGTAACTAATCATATACCAAAATATTTCTTACCGTATCTTCAAAAAATCATTTAATCAAGAAGATTAGTTTAGAATCTTTTGATTTATCGATAATTCAACTGGTTCAATTTTTCAAAGATTATAAACGCAATTTTCCACAATATCAAAAGAAATTTAACTATTTATTTTTAATAACAAATCAATCTTTATATTTAATAACAAATCATACGTTGTCCTGTTTTGTTGGGCATCCAGCCATATGTAGACTGAAATATGTTTGAGAACATTGCAAAATATAAGTACAATATAAATTTAGAAATCAATTGCAAAAATCTTATTAATATAACTAACTCAATATTACAATATAACTTATATCTCAACATTAATAACAAATCTCTATGATTTTCTATTCATTTTGTAATGGGCCATATATACCGAAATCCATCTATTCAAGGATTTCAAAAATATCTATTGAATTTATCAAGAACTGCACCGAACCAGTTTTTAAAAAATTCATATTGTGATTCACAATATCATAACAAGTCTTATATAAATCAAAATAAAATAATATTGACGTAATTAAAAATTAATAAATTTTTTACTTCAAAATAATATATATTACAATCTTTTTAATTAAGTGCTAGTTATAATATTTAACACAAATTTTCAACTTTAGCATAACTTATTTAGAAATCGACATAATATATTGTAATAAGGTATGTGACAGAGAGAGAGAGAGAGAGTCCGTGAGTATTATTTATTAATAATATTTGAATATGTTAAATCTTTATTATTTTTAATTATAACAGAAACTCGAAAATGACAACTATTTTATAACGAGCGAAATAAATATATAAATCATAAATTAAATTATTATATATAATAAAATAAAATAAAAAACTATTAATATTCAAAATTAATTTTTTTATACTAATCAATATTCCTTCATTGATTTAATACATACAGTTTATAAGTATTGCAACATGCGTCGCACGTGCTACGTACAAATTACAATAATCATTCATAACAATCAAATAATTAATCTTCCCAAACAAAGTTGCAATCAAATCACTAATCTCTTCCTTTCAAAAACTAAATCATTTTGTGCAGATTACAAAAATAAAACTAATCTCCACAGCTATAAATAAACTCCTCCAATATTTCTCCATTCTCTCTAAATCAATATCATCAATAGTAACATAACAATGGCTAAAAGCCTGTTTTTCACTCTCATTCTTCTTTTCATGTCCATCATGAGACCAACACACTCTAAAATTTGTTTCTTGTCAGACGAGTACACCATCTCCATAAACAACAACATTGCCGACAACAAATCGGATAAGATATCGTTTCATTGCGCGTCAAAAGACAATGATTTAGGTAATCACACACTTAACGGGGGATCTTCCTACAAATGGTCATTTTGCAATAACATTCTGAAGAGAACCATGTTTTTTTGTCGTTTTCATTGGGGTCCCAAACAGAGGGCGTTTGAGGTTTTTAACTATAAGTTGGGGGTGAGGATGTGTAAGGATGAATTTTGCAATTGGTATGTACAGAATGATGGTTTCTATTTGAGCGGCCTGTTAGGCAAGGCCCAGAAGCAATATGATTGGTAAAAGTATGGTTGAATATAATATACAAAATTAATATGGTATAAATTAAGGATGACAGCATTGGACTATACAAAATTAATAAAGTATCATTTTATTTTTTTCAGCATTGTTATCCATTTTTAGCTGGCTATTCCATTTTTTTTTTCTTTGTTGTTGTATATGTCTATTTATTTTGAAGAACAAAAGAAGATTTGATGATAACAAAATATAAAAATAAAATTTAAAAATTTAATATTATTAATATTTTTTTAACAAATTCATATTTCTTGAGCATAAGTGTACCGTAAGTAATTTATGAATCCGATCACCATGTAACACGACTTAGATCACAAACACATCCTTGATCACGAACGGGGTGGTTTTATGACCTTCTTCAACTAAAACGTCATATTCCTCAAGGAAGAAAAGAGAATTTTGTTTAATTTAGTATCCCTATAACCACAACCAATAAGATCTTTATATACTACTAGGGTAGATTATTCATTATCAACTAACTCAAATAATATTATGTATCCACTCATGCACCCTACTTTATTTAGATCACTTAATTGAGTCTATTGATTAATTGAATAACTAATATAATATACTGCTCATAATTAGATTATACATAGAAAATTAAAAAATTTCCTAACAAACTCCGACTTGGGCTACATATTAATTCATGAGCAATTATGTTAATTCTTTAGTTGTGCAATTTTATGTTATTCATATTCAGACCACCTTAAACAATCTCGTCCATCTCATATACTAACAATGGAGCTACCACAACTTTCACAACATTACAGTGTTAGTGTTATATACTAAAAGTTTGGCTTTTGATGTTATTACACTTTTGCCCTTTATGAATGAGAATTATGTTAGATTAAACAAGTTCGATGTTATGTTGTTTTGCACTTAGATAGAACGAGTCGTCATCGGGCGAACTGAAGATCATTCTATCAGTTACTTGCGAAACAAGAATTGTGGATCATAACCTAGATGAAAATGAACACCCCATCTGAACGGTTGTAGTGTCGACAGTACAATTGGTCTTGACTGATTAGTTGCACTAGTACATTTATGTATTGAACAGGATCCTAAAGAGGAGAAGTTCGTTTTATACTGATCGTCGTAAACGAACTAGGCTTCGGTTAATTATTGCATTCTCTTAACCCGTAAGATATTAAACAGGCATATATATGCAGTACATATTACTTTGATTCACTTGGGTGAGGTTCAGTTCACTGGATTAATATTCCTACTATTTTGGGTAATATTGTTGTATGTATGATGTGCTGTTAGGATATTTACCGTCACCATGTGCGTTAGTTTGATAATGTCCCTAGAGTGAGTTCATGAAGGATTGTTATGTTAAACCCTGCAGGTGAATTAAGTTCCGGCATAATAATAATGTGATGAACGAGCGCTAGCTTCGATGAAATAATAATAAATTAATTAATTCTTGATTGTCAGTAATTGAATTAATTAATGGACATTATATCTTATGCGTGGGGAGGTAAATCGAGTAATTATAATTGGAGTCTCAAATGTAATTTGGGCTAGGAAAAGGGAGTGCAATAATATTATGTTAGTGGCCCATAATATTATTTAATTAATAAGAAGAGTGAGTTTGTCCCACAATAAGTCTAATTAATTAAGGAATTGTATTCCTAATCTCCTAAGGGTCCCTACTGCAACTCTATATATACACCATTAAACTCATGAGAAGAAAAAAATCTGTCACAATTAACAGAAATCGGTCGCGCCCTATATCTCTCTCTCTCTCTCAGTTCTCTTTCGAGCTTTATCTTCTTCTTGTTGCTCCACTGGTACAAGTTGAAGAGGGTGTTTGAGTAATACAGTAGAAGATCCATAGGTAATTGAGACTCGGTAATCTTCTACAACAATCGACGATCCACGACACGAAGCCGAGGACCGCCGGCCAGCCGCCGTGAAGCAGTTGCTGACTGCCGCGACAACCCTGCCGCCAATCACAACCAACCGGCGAGCCGTTCGACGTGACACGACCAGCCATCCGCGACGCATATGACCCGTCCGATTCACGCAACTCGATCCTATCATCCTGTCGTGTGATCCAGTTCCGTTCGTGTGTTGTTCCCGGTCATCCCGAATCCGACAGATTCAGAAAATATTAAGCCGTAAGTTTTCTATGTCAAACCTTTAGATCCGCTGTGTATAGGTTTACGTTTGCTATTGAATTCGTGATTTGTACATAACGAGAACCTCACAGATCCAAACAAGTGGTATCAGAGCACTTGGTTAATTCATTTTGTAAAAAATGGTATCTCAATAATTTTTTTATTTTTTTATATTGCTAATCATTTTACTTGATATTAATGAGAGAAAAATCTGGAGAATATTATGTTTGTAAATGTGCGTGGAACATATCAAATTATTCGTGTATATATATATATAAAGATTTGTATTTACTTGAATCATGTTGTAGTCAAATTGAATTTCTGAATAAAATTTTTAAAACGACACCTATTTCGAAATGAATATAATGTAATTTATTAGTAGTTACTTGTACCGTACGTATCGTGTACTAATTTTAAATATACATATTTAATGTAATTTGCACAATTTATATTTCATATAATATTTTCAACAAATTAATATAGGTAAGTTATATTACATATTGATTCCATATTTTTAATTTGAAAATACTATTTAATGAGCATTTTTAATTTATAAATATTAAAGAATATTTCTTACTCGTGTATCGCATGGAATTCGTACTAATTACGATTATCTACAATAAAAATATATTACGAAAAGAATATAATTATAGACATAAAATAATCATTCTAAATCCGGCCAAACGTAATATGGAAACTAAATTTTTCTACAAAAAGTTAATGTAATGAAATATCAAAGATATGTTAACTATTCCAGTATGGAAACTAAATTTTTTCTACCAAAAAGTTAATGTAATGAAATATCAAAGATATGTTGACTATTGAAATTGATGTGTTATGGAATGTGTAACAAATTTTCTTCTATATTCAACTTGAAATCCGATTTTATCAATCTCACTAATCCGTCCAAACCCATGTATTCACAAACAACTTCACTACACAAAATTCCAATAATCATGCATACCAATCAAATAAACTTCCCAAACAAAGTTGCATCCAATCACTAATCTATTCATTTCAAATACGAATCATTTTTTTGCAGATTACAAATATAAAACTAATCTCCATAGCTATAAATATACTCCACCAACATTCTCTAAACCAATATCATCAATAGTAACACAACAATGGCTAAAAACTTGTTTTTCACTCTCATTCTTATTTTCATGTCCATCATGAGACCAACACAGTCTTGTTTCTGGACAAAAGGCTACACCATCTCCATATACGACGGCATTCTTGACAAGTCGGACAAGATATCGCTCCATTGCGCGTCAAAGGACGACGATTTAGGTAATCACACGCTTAAAGGGGGCTTTAACTACGACTGGTCGTTTTGCGATAGCTATTGGAAGACGACCATGTTTTTTTGTCATTTTTATTGGGGTCACAAGGAGAGGGCCTTTGAGGTTTTTAACTATAATTTGGGGAAGCATATGTGTAAGAGTGGGACTTGTACTTGGTCTGTAGCTAATGATGGTTTCTATTTGAGGGATGGTAGGTTTGGGACGCCCTTCAAACAATATGATTGGCAAAAGTAAGGTTGAATATGATGATGGCACTAGACAATACAAAATTAATTTGGGTTGATATGGCATAAATTTATTTTTTCATCATTATTATCCATTTTTCAGCCAGCTATTCCAGATGATAATAAAAGTTTAAAAAAAAAAGGAAAAATTAAAAACTTAATGTTATTAAATATTTTTAACAAATTCATATTTTTTATAATCTATTCAATTAAAATAATTATGTGTAACATAAATTGATTTCTTTTCCTCCACCCCTCATTCCTAATTTACAGCTCCTTTTGGTCATTGTGTTGCCTTTCAGAATCTTTTTCTTCATTTTATTTTAACTTTTCAATCTCATATTTATTAAGCGGAATAAAATTATAAAGGAATATTATCATTGTTTTAGTTTGAACCTAATATATACTAAATAAACCTTGTCCTAATAATTTATTTTTATTTCTCAATTGTTTTAGTGTGATCATAATATATACTACAAGGAGGATTCAAATAACTCTTAGTCTTTCTCTCTCCCGAAACCCTACCCCCAAATTCTCGCCGGAGTTGCCTCTCAAATTCAAGGTCGATTAGCCTTCTTCGATGACGGCGGACCTCTGGCCAGGGGTTGTCCTTGGCCGCTCAACCCCCCCGGACGAAGTGCGCCTCCGATGTCGCTGTAGAAGGGCTGCGATTGACGGTCTAGTTCGAGGTTATTGACGGTGTCCCGGTCGATGAGGGTCGGTGTTTGGCTGGCGACGGGATTCTTCCCCTTAATCGTCGGTGGAGCTTCGATTTGTGATGGTAAGCCCCTCAACTTCGCTCTGTCGGTAAATCTTGGATTCCGCCTCTTTAGGTGGGGTTCCGCCTCTTTTGGTGGTGGGGCTTGGGCCTCCGGTTGGGTCCCTTGTGGTGGTATTGGGCGGAGTGCGAGTCCTCGGAGGGGTGGAGCTCCGGTTGCTACGGCTTTCTTAGTCGTGGTGGACGGGGTTGAGGGATAGACCCACCTTCACCCTCCCCCGTTCGGCTAGTGGTGTTAGGCGGCGAGGGAACTTGAGCTCGGCTAGTGGTGTTAGACGGGTTCGGGTGGTCTGGTGTGAGGGATGGTTGGCTCTCTTTTCGTTTGAGGACGGGTCGATTCGGGGATTGGTTCGGGCTCGGTTTCAGCTACTTGTATAGGCGTTCACGCAGTTTCGGTAGTGGATTCTCTGGCTATGAATCTTTCTTGAGTCGATCGTTCACTGATGGTTGGAACCGCTTGTTTGCCGAGGAAGGGCTTTGCTGCTTATTTTGTCGTTTTTAGTTTTTCTTGTTTAGTGTGGTATGTGCTCGTGTTTGTATTTGTATTTGTGTTTTAGGTTTGAGCCGTTGGCCTCTGTGTTTCGGAGTGTCAAATTTATTACTCCGTTAGGGTCAGACACTCCGGTATTACTCCGTTGGGGTCTTTTTTAGTTGTGTTAGTTTTTGTTAGTATAGTTTCGAGTTTATCATTCTAGCGTTGCTAGACGGTTCTAGACGATCTTAGGATCTGCCTCCCAGTTTTATAGTCTGTTGTACTATTTAGCCTTTGGCTACTTTCTTTTCGCACTTTGTGCAGTTTCATTAATATAGTATTTCTATCGTTTCGGGAAATATATATATATATATATATATATATACTACATTTGGAGTTGATGAACTTTATCGTATTAATTTTTATTTCAAGATAAGCTATGTCCTATTAATTTATTTCTCAAAACATATTATTGAAATAACCATTAATACTCTGGACAATTTCGCCAATGTATTATCAAATATATTGTATTGAATTGTAAAATTATAATTAATAATTAATAAAGACTGAACACTTATATATGATAAGTTAAGTCTTTTTGTTTATCGCTATGCTCAAGATTAGAGGCATGTGAAACCATGTTCCCTATTGTATAAAAATATATCCGTTCAAAATCAATTTTTTTGGTAAACTATAGTTAAATTTAAAAAATTTGATAGGGTTAGTTGTTAGTAGAATTTTGAGTTTATATTACAAATTTAAAATAAAATAATTAAAGTTAATTTGATGTAAAAGTAGGAGATAGATGATATGAAGTGATGGTTAATTTAAATTATGTGAATGAATGAATATTGAATTAAAGTTGATGTGATATGTAATAATGATTGGTTGATATTATTTAATTATATTGATAATATTTAAGATTGAGTTAAAATTGAATTAAATTTTGAGTATAAGTTGAAATAATTATAAACAAACACACCTTAAAAAAGGCATGGATGACCTCCAACTCCAAAGTGCTCAATCCCACCCTCTTTGCAGGTCCAATTTGTGCAGTTAATTGCTTGCTTTTGCAGCAAACCAAAAATCAAAAGCAAGGCCAACAAATAACATTACACCTCAATCACCAACAATCATGGCACGAGCACCTCCGTGACTCGAAACAAAGAAAACCGACTTGAATCCCACGATTATTTTCCTATCGGCAATTATGGAGATGAACTTAATCGGCGTATGGATATCTACACAAGTTCTTGAAAACCTTAATCAAGGTACCCGGTTCAAATGCTGACCCAATAAGTGAATGAGCATTGGGCCGCTCAAAGACCATAGGTATCTTAATTAGATAAATATAGATAAGAAAAAAAAATAACAATTAAGTTGGCATGACTTTTCGTAAAGATTCAAAAAGTTTCAAACGTTTTATTTGGTAAATGATTAACTGGATTTTTGTAACCAAATTTATACATTTGACCGAAAAAATTGAAGGAATGATTGGCTGGATTTTTTGGAAACAAAATTTTCACGAGTTTTACTCAAAAATCTCATATTTTCATAATTTGAATTACGAATTCAAAGTTAGCCGCCTATTTTCAAAAAATTTCTGAAAAAATTACCAATAATAGTAAAATCGATTTTTTTTTATGCGGGAATTTACATGCTAATTCAAGTAAAGAGTAACATTGAATTTTTCAGGCGAGAATTTACATGCTATTTCAAGTAAATCGCTCTGCTTTTATACATTAGTAGATTCCACACTAACCTAAAATATACAAGTATTACGATTATCTACAACGAAAATATATTACGAAAAGAATATAATTATAGGCATAAGATAACATAATCATTCTAATTTCAGCCAAACCTAATATGAAAACTAATTTTTTCTATCAAAAAGTTAATGTAATGAAATATGAAAGATGTTTGACTATTGAAATTGAAATGTTATGGAATGTGTAACAAACTTTCTATATTCAACTTGCAATCCGATTTATCAACCTCACTAATGAGTCCAAACCCATGTTCACTACAAAATGACTATAATCATGCATGCCAATCAAATAATCTTCCCAAACAAAGTTGCAATCCAATCACTAATCTCTTCATTTCAAATACTAAATCATTTTTGTGCGGATTACAAAAATAAAACTAATCTCCATAGCTATAAATAAACTCCACTACTATTCCTCCAGTCTCTAAATCAATATCATCAATAGTAACACAGCAATGGCAAAAAACTTCTTTTTCACTGTTATTCTTCTTTTCATGTCCATCATGAGACCAACACACTCTTGTTTCTGGACAAAAGGCTACACCATCTCCATATACAACAACATTCTCGACAAACCGGACAAGATATCGTTCCATTGCGCATCAAAGGACGACGATTTAGGAAATCACACTCTTATATGGGGCTTTAGCTACGACTGGTCGTTTTGCGATAACTATTGGAAGACGACGATGTTTTTTTGTCATTTTTATTGGGGTTCCAAGGAGAGGGCCTTTGAGGTTTATAACTATAATTTGGGGAAGCATATGTGTAAGAGTGGGACTTGTATTTGGACTGTAGCTAACGATGGTTTCTATTTGAGGGATGACAGGGTTGGGAAGCCCTTCAAACAATATGATTGGCAAAAGTAAGGTTGAATATGATGGTGGCACTGGACAATACAAAATTAATTTGGGTTGATATGGCATAAATTTATTTTTTCAGCATTATTATCCATTTTTCAGCCAGCTATTACATTCTTTTGTTATTGTATATTTGAGTTTATTTTAAAGAAAACAAAATCCAGTTGATAAAAAGTTAAAAATAAAAATTGAAAATTTATATTATTACATATTTTTAACAAATTCGTGTTTTTTATAATCTATTCATGTTTCCAAGCTCTTTTGGTTACCTCATTCTCGGAATCTTTTTATTCATTTTATTGTAACTTTTCAATCTAATAATATTTATTAGGCTGATTAAAATTATTATGGAATATTATCATTTTCGTTTTAGTTTGAACCTAATATATACTAAGTGAACTTTATCCTATTAATTTATTTTTAATTCTCAATTGTTTTAGTGTGATCATAATATATATATACTATATATAATTGTAAAAAACGTTGAGCCTAAATGGCAAATTCGTAGAAAATCCTATGTGGCAAAAAATCATGCTTCGTAACTAGACTTGGATAAAAATTAGTATTTTTTTTTATAAAATAATAATTAGGCTGAGATTGCATAAAATATCTATATTATTCAATTAAATATGTAATTGATTTATTCCTTCTTTTCTTATACCATTAGTTAAGATAAATTATTTTAGATTTCCTTTTACTACATTACCATATATTAAAATTTTTTTTCTTAATTAATTCATACACCAATTAGAAGCGCTCTGATCCGACAACAAAAAATCATACAATGACGGTTCCATCTTCGTCAATGTCCCGCCTGGAAATCTGGACACAAGTCAAGAACTACAGCCGATCTTTCCCCGGAGTAGAGCATCAACCTAAAAAAGATTAATAAATGTGTCTTCTTGTTTTGGATTGAATCTCGATTCATAAATGTGTCTTCTTATTTTTAAACTTTTTATAACTTTTTTGTTTGTATTTTATTTTTTATATATGATATATATCTTTTAACGATCTTTGATTTGACATATATATTACATATATAAAATACAAAATACTAATATATATCCTTATAAATAAAATTCAAATTAATTTATCAAACTAAATTAAAAAAAACAAAAAAAAACTACAAATTATCTTATGAAACAACAGAAATTGAATTATATTAACATATCATAAAATATTTATTTTAATATTAAAAAATATATATAAACTAAGTATGAACATAAAAAAAATATAAAAAAATATTTTAAAAATTATGTCTCAACTTAAATAAAAACTACAAAGAAATTGAACATTATAATGATCTTAAAAATAAAAAATAATGTTAGTTTTACTTAAAAATAATAAAAATAATGATTATATTTCGTAAAGTTTAAAAACACGTTATATTTTACATTATTGGATATTACAAAGTTTAATATATTTGAATGCACGCCTATTGTTCACGGGTGTTATATTAAATGCATAATAAATTAATTATTCTATTTAATTTTAAAAATATGAATATATCTTAAATAAAATATATAAAATTTAATACAAAATATTTTTTAGAATTTAAAATAAATATTACAAATTCTTTTACTTTATTATTAATTAAAAAATTTCAAGAATTTTATTTCTTTTTATTCTTTGTTGCACAATTAATTTTTTCTTCAAATACCCGTGTAATTCAAGGGGGTTGTACTAATTACAAAGATAAAACTAATCTCCACAGCTATAAATATGCTCCACCAATATTTCTCCATTCTCTAAATCATTATCATCAATAGTAGCACAACAATTGCTAAAAGCTTGTTTTTCGTTCTCATTATTCTTTTTGTGTCCATCATGAGGCCAACACACTCTTGTTTCTGGACAAAAGGCTATACCATCTCCACATACGACGGAACTCTCAGCAAGTCAAACAAGATATCGCTCCATTGTGCGTCAAAGGACGACGATTTAGGTAATCACACGCTTAAAGGGGGCTTTAACAACGACTGGTCATTTTGTGATAACTATTGGAAGACGAACAGACGACCATGTTTTTTTGTCATTTTTATTGGGGTTCCAAGGAGAGGACCTTTGAGGTTTTAAACTATAATTTGGGGAAGCATATGTGTAAGAGTGGGACTTGCACTTGGTCTGCATCTGATGGTTTCTATTTGAGGGATGGCAGGTTTGGGATGCCCTTCAAACAAAACCATTCGAGGAATGGCAGGTTTGGGATGCCCTTCAAACAATACGATTGGTAAAAATTAAGTTCAATATGATGATGACATTGGACTAAAAGATTAATTTGTTGTACCAAAAAGGTTAATTTGGTTGATATGGCATAAATTTATTTTTTCACTAATATTATACATTTTTTAGCTCGTTATTACATTCTTTTTGTATTGTATATCTCAATTTATTTCCAAGAAAAAAAATAGATGATAATAAAGTTAAAAAAAATCTAATATTATTAAATTTTCTTAACAAATTCATATTTTTTATAATCTACACTTCTCAGCTTCGAGCCTCCTCTCCAACCTCCTGTGAAGCTTATTCTTGATCCTCCTCTGAAGCCTGTGGTTTATTTTATTTGAACTTTCAATCTTATATTTATTATGCGGAATAAAAATTATAATCTATAGAATACTAGATAATATTAAATTATATTTGGTTTATAGTTTGAAGATAATATATACTAGATATATTTATCCTATTAATCTATTTTTGTTTCTTAATTGGTTTAGTGCGATCATAATATATACTACATTTCAATGGAAGTAGATGAACTAGATCCTATTAAATTATTTCTCAAAATATATTATTGAAATAACCATTAATACTCTGGAGAATTTCACAATGTATTGTCAATAATGAACTTTATCCTATTAATTTTTTTTTTTTTGTTTCTAGATGAACTAAATCCTATTAACTTATTTCTTAAAATATATTATCGAAATAACCATTAATAATCCGGACAATTTCACCACCGTATTGTCAATGACTCAATATATTGTATTGAGTTGTAAAATTATAATTAATTATTAATAAAGACTGAACACTTACATATGACCAATTAACAAGTCTTTTGTCTATCATTGTGCTTAAGATTAGACGCACGTGAAACCACGTCCCCTAAATGCAGAAGGATACGTAAGGACAGGAAAAATTGAAGTTTGGTCATATTACTGGGAACCCGTGGTCACTAAGCGGTATATGCAGTATGCATATATGATATATTCAATCCAACCCAAGCACAAATAACAATATCGTAGAACTAACAAAAGAAGAAAACAAAAGTTCCATTAAAAAAAAAGTTAATTGAAGGATCAATCTCAGCATAACTTGGACACAAGTCACAAAAGGCATCCTAGTTGCACTATATTCCCCAAACAAAAGAATGTCAATCACAAAGCAAGAAATACTAGGAACGACTAATATTTTCAAGAAACTATATATAACTTTTATCTTCATCCAACACAACCACAGAAAAATTGTATGAACTTGGAGTAGACATCAAATGAACTTTCGATAGATTCTAGTATTCGACTCCAACTTTGATAACTTTCTCCTACAAAACACACCTGCTTCTCTTTTCTCAGAAGTAGATTCAAAAAAAAAAAAAAAAAAAAATGGAAAAAGGTTGCTAACAAATGGAGAGGACCTGAACTTTCATTTTGGCTTCTAAAGAAGCTAAACCAACACCAAATATTTCGTGTTAATTCTAACTAATTCTTTGAAATAATTCTACTTACAAGACTCTCAGAAATCATCTAGTCCTATCAATTTATACACCAATGTTTTAAATTTTCATTTGGTCTAACGAATTTGGATACCAACAGAGGATTTGAGATATATCTTTCAAATGACTATTTATACGATGACATAGAAACGCCACAATGACTCGAATATTAGCTGACAACAGTATTTTAAAGATTGGAATCCATTATGTAAAGAGCATTATTCATCATTTGTCATCAGAATTGAATCTTTAAACTCAACTAAATTCATAAATCCAAATGTATTTATAAGAAGATTATTGTAACCCAAACCTTTGGAAAATGACTAATAACTTTTTCTTTTTTCTCGATTATCATGATCTCGCCAAGGATTGAGAGAATCTCTCATTGCTTGAGCTTCAGGCGAATTCTCCCAAGCCCTCTTCTCTGATTCCAAAACTGTCACTTTATCGTCTGCCGAAAATGTACAACATAAATAAGCAGCTTAACAATTCATACAAATGAAATCAGCATCGGCAGTGACAAAAAGGATAACAAAACCAAACAACGAACAACATTAAAATCTAGTAACTTAACATGAAAGCAATAAATTTCATAAACAAACAGAGATTTATAAGTACTGAGTTACCCAAGAACACATTCATACCAATTGGCTAATCAACATTCCAAAAAAAAAAATTGGTTAATTATGACCTGATTTGGCTCAACTATTATCATGCTCGCTCACAAAACCGGCCATTCAAAAGAAAAATCATATACATTCTAAATTCCCCAATACCAGAGTTCAAATCACATTTCGATGTTCATGCTAACCATAGATTTCTTCAAGTTCAAGATAGTACTTTGAGCGGATATGAAATTAGGGTAAAAAGCACAATTTATATTTACAAATTGTAATACCAAAAGCGGCTAAAACCCACACATAATCAGTGCTAAGAATTATGTCCGAATTGGAAAGAAAAGCTACATAAACTAAAATTAACTTGTAAGTAATCGTATATGGGTTTTCCTCCATGACAATTAAGCAGAACCCATGGCGAAGTTCGATGAAGTTAGTGATGTGAATGAGAGAGAAAGAGAGAGTATGCAAAGGAAAGTTCTCACACAAAAGCCAGTTTTGATCATGAATAGCTCCATGGAACCTCCAATCAAGGCTGAAACGGCTGCTATCTTCAAGTACCAATCCAGAAACTTCATAGTTTTGTTCTTTAACCCAGATCCGTTGCAATATATAAAGGTTAGAGCACAAATTCTTTATTTATGTTTCATTTCAGAGTGACATGTTTTCAATCTACTATTTATTATGCTTAATAAAATTATAATTTAACAAAATACCTTATCATATTTGATAACAAATTTAGAAAGAAAAAAAAAAAAGGTAAACACATTTAGCTCAACAAAAGTCAATAAACTTTCACATAATAAAAATATATATATATATTAGCAAAGGTGCAAGTTTTCTTTTATTCATAACTAATACAATACTCGTGTATTACATGGGATTTGTTGAGAAATTTATATTTAAAATTTATAATAATAATAAAAATTTATTTTAATGTTCAAATACTTTTTTAAATAATTGTATTACTATTTATATTTAAAATAACACATATTTCTTATACGGCTTACCATCTTATATTATGATATTTTTTTTAAAATTATATCACTTAACAACTTTCCAATTAAATTAAAATAAATTATTTTATTTTTTAATTAATGTTAATAGATTATTTTTTTATTATAAAGATAAATATAATTATTTATTTATTTTATATGAACAAAATAGATGTCAAATCGAAACTCATCAATAAATGATTAATTTGGTAATTATATATAAAAAATTAATTATAAATAAAAAAAATTATTAACTTTTAATTCTACTTATAATTTAAGTTAGTAATTTTATCATAATTTTAGAAGTAAGATGAGGAAAAAAGAATGATTGAGGAAAAACAAAGTTGTCTTATAAATCATGTCTAGAATAGGAAACGTAATATTAATGCTTTTAAAAATGATCATAAAAATCTATTATATTTATGGCTATTACAAATTTAATTATTTTTTAATTGAAAATAAATTAAAATTCATCCAAACCAAATGACAAAGCATGAAAAATTGACACGTAGAATTCCGAAGCATGAGAATTTACCACTTAGGCTTAACACATTCTGAATTATATATAGGGGGATTCCTTAACACAAGCAAAGCTGTCAAAACATGCTGACGGGGCGAGCCGAACTATAACCTGCCAAAACTCATCTATTAGCAAGACGGGGTGGGCCAAAGAAAAGCAAGCCCAACCCATCCCGCCTCGGGCCGCAAGTTTAGAAAAATGTTTTAGCAGGACGCAAGACCGTCTCTAAAAATTTGGAGGCCCCAGACAATTTTTTTTTTCTTTTTGAATTTTTCGATTTAAACTTGCGTGCTAACTAGCGTTATTTGCAGATAAATTAATCATACAAAGATCTAATTAAACAAGACTATTAAATCAACAAATAAATAATTGAAAAATAAAATATGTTTTATTGTTTTTCTGGACCTTTGTATTGATAAATTATCTCTGGGTTACAAAGATCTTTAATAAATTACATTAGGACATCAAGGAGAAGAAAATAAAAATTATATCACTGCAAACAATATTTATTCTAACACAACTTGTTCTGACTGAACATCATAAGAAAACAAATGAAATATTTAGGGCCTCAAATTCCATCACAAAGTACATATTTTGTCATTAGCTCCATTAATTAGCCCCTTCATTTGTGTAATGGGTCAAGTCCATATTTAGTCATTAGCTCCTTCACTAAATAGGTCGAGCCCAAAACAATACATAATTTAAAAAAGGAAAAAAAATGAGGTCCCAAATAAATGGAGGCCCTAGGCATAGACGTAGCTTGCCTCCCCCAAGAGTCGGGCATGGCAGGACGGGTTCGGCTAAAGATATGCATTTTAATAAACTAATATCCTAAACTTTTTTTTTTTTTTTGTACAAAGAAAGGAGGTCGGAGCCTAAAAGCCTCTAGATAGTAATATTTCGTGGATGAGCGACACCAAAGACGTCGTGCTTTAAACCACGACTTGACTTCTAGTGGTGGATCAAGTAGTCATTGGCAACCATTAGGACATGAATGAGCTAAGGTTGCCAAGCAATCCGCACCAAAATTTGTTTCACGATAACAAGAATCCCATAACCATCTTAACGACACTTTGGTTATCCACATCCGTAACAACCTAATACCCCAAATCCCAAACTAACTGGAGTCCTTGGAATAAACCCCATAGCTCTACACCTGTGATGGTGGTATACCCAATATTCATGACGAAACCCCTAAGCCAGTGACATCCATCATTTCGCATGAGTCCTCCCGCCGACACCATACTTGTCGGCTGAATAAAGGATCAATCAGTATATATTTTAACCACTCATGTCGGTGGCATGTCTTCCCATGCCCAATCCACCTAAAAGCTTCTCAGCGGACACGATACTATTAACCTGTAGATGGAACCGTCGGATGGTCATCGGCCAGCCCACTCAGAGGAATACCAGGATGGCGATGGTGATCACATGACTGAAGATGGAACCTTGATTTCTCAGGTTCCTAGTTCTCTCTGACGAGTGTCACCCTCCTTTTTTATTAATTTTGTAATGAATATAATCTCGGAATGTTCAACGAGCAGCCTCGGGGAACTTTTTCCGAGCCTTCTCTAACATCAAAAATCACTATTGTTTGGACATTTTTGCTATTTTTGAGCCTCGAATCAGCTGTGTGAATGCCGATAAATTTATTCGAAGGAGTGGTTTTGAATGTTCCTTCCGAGTAGAAGCTTTCGGGTTCTCTAGAGGTATATGGATATCATGGAAAGAGAAAGCACATGTTGAAGTGTCATCGTCCATATGTCCATACTCGAGCGGTTAAGTATCATGGAAAGAGAAAGCACAACTCGGTGTTCTTTATGGCCGGAATTACGAAATTTAGCTCTGAGAATTAATGATCCATGGCTTATTGGAGGGGACTTTTGATATTGATTCTTGGAATTTAAACTAATTTATAAATATTTTAGTAGAACAAATTCGTACATTATACTATATGCAGCCAATGAAGTATTAGTAACTAACTCATATTTCATCTACCAACTAATAATATACAAAATAGATTCACGTGTTACGTGTAATGATCACATGATATTTAAAGCACAAATATATAACATGTCATTTTTCTCTTATATCACAAATTGCCATATCAAATGTGCCAATAATAGACAGGAGAGCATATTGACCGACTAACTCAAATATGTATTGATTAATAAAAAATATGTAGTAAATATGATTATTATTAACTTGATAATTAATTTAGTAAAAAATATCATTATGGTTTTTTTTTTAAATATTGATTGGCTAAAGGGCTTGACCTTTACAAATAGCTATACCATGCATCTATGTATATGATCAGTTTAGATTGTGCTTGCAATAATAATAACTATGAGTAGTATGAACTTTTGAGAAATTAGGTTTTCTCTGTAAGGAAGACGAGAGAGTAAAGGAGAAGAGAGAGAAAGTAAATCTGAATGTGTATTGATCAAAATGAAACGTTGGGATAAAAGAGTGTTTAACATTTGCTTATATACTAACCCTAATCTAACTAAAGTTGTCTTACAACAAATGACAACTCTTATTTTACAAAGGAATAACATTACAATGGTAAAATAGTAATAACATATATATTTTCACCCCCCCGCAAGCTAAACATGTATATTATGCAGGTTTAGCTTGGATTTGAGATGATGAAAGGCTGGTCCTTGTAAAGGTTTTGTTAAGATGTCAGCAGGTTGGTCTTTGGTGTTGATGTGCTGGAGCTGGATCAGACCCTTTGAGATCTTTTCCCTAATGAGGTGGCAGTCCAATTGTATGTGTTTGGTCCTCTCATGGAAAACAGGATTGGAAGCCATAGCCATTGCAGACCTGCTATCTGTAAACAAAACTACTGGAGAATATTGTGAGATATTAAGGTCAGACAATAAGTAAAGTAACCATTGGACTTCACAGGATGTGGATGCCATTGCCCTGTATTCAGATTCAGCAGAGGATCTGCTTATGGTACTTTGTTTCTTTGATTTCCAAGATATGAGAGAGTTGCCAAGAAAAACAAAGTATCCAGTTATACTTTTCCTAGAACTTAAGCAGCTAGCCCAATCAGAATCACTGTAAGCAGTTAAATTTAATGAACCAGTTCTAGAAAATAGTATGCCTTGTCCAACAGTTCCCTTAATATATCTCAAAATTCTATGAGCTGCAGATAAATGTGTGACAGAAGGTTTGGACATAAATTGACTCAAACATTGGACACTATAACTGATATCAGGCCTTGAAATAGTCAAGTAGAGTAATCTTCCAACAAGCCTTCTATACTCAGATGCATCAGTAACAGTGTCATTGTCAGAAAAGGGAACCAGTTTCAAAGTTGGATCCATGGGAGTTATAGCAGGTTTACAGCCCAAAAATCCAGTGTCAGTTAAAATATCCAGGGCATATTTTCTTTGGCACATGTTAATGCCAGAATCAGAATGTGCAAATTCTAAGCCCAAGATATATTTAAGTTGACCTAGATCTTTAATGGTGAAGCATGAATGTAAATGCTGTTTGATGGACTGAATTTTGTTCATATTATCACCACAGATGATAACATCATCAACATATACAAGTAAAGCAATGAAAGAAGAGTCATCAGATAGGGTAAATAGTGAGCAATCAGCAGCAGATTGTTTGAAACCATAGGAAATAAGACAAGAAGTTAATTTTTGAAACCATTGCCGAGAGGCTTGTTTAAGGCCATATAAGCTTTTCAGTAATTTGCAAACTCTTGTGTCTGATTTGGAACAGTAACCAGGTGGGGGAAGCATATAAACTTCTTCATTTAAATCACCATGTAAGAATGCATTATTAACATCTAATTGCTCAATATGCCACTTTTTGATAGATGCTAAGGCTACTAAAAATCTGACAGTTGTTATTTTAGCTACAGGGGAAAATGTATCAAAGTAGTCAATCCCCTCCTCTTGTGTGTAGCCTTTAGCAACTAATCTAGCCTTATATCTTTCAATAGTGCCATCTGATTTATATTTCACCTTATAGACCCATTTACAGCCTATACAATGTTTACCCACAGGAAGTTCAGTTAAGGACCAAGTGTTGGTTTGTTCTAAAGCTGTAAGTTCTTTAGTCATGGCTTC